CCCTCAGGCCAAAAAGTTTGCCCGCCCCTGCTTTAGAACATCTGCCAGTTGGAGACCGCTGAGCTCAGATGAAGCTCTGGGTGCTAGGACCTGCAGTCTCCATGGCTGCACATGGGCACTGGAGTGGCCTCGGCTGCATTCTGGTTAGAGACACGCAGAGTAAGAGACGGAAGAGCAGGCGCATGCAGACTGGGGATTGCACCTTGAGGTTCTCGGCCTGTGCAGCTAGGAATGACATGAGTTTGCACCTATGCTAGAGCTGCTGTAACCTAATGGCCTGCCAGACAGTGTGGCAAAGGGATTGCCAAAGTATCCAGTACTGGCTATTACCCTCAGCTAGCCCATTCCTTACAGTTTGGTGCAGGCAGTTGGCTGTTCAGAAGCCCTCTGCAGACTTCAGCAAGCCCATCTCCTGGGCAACTGAAGCCCAGAGAGGAATGAGACAGGCAAGAAACTCACCACCATGGGCTGTCTCCCCTCCCATGCGTCCCGGTGGATGCAAGAGGCTCAGGGATCACCTCGTGCGAATTCTTCCTTTTGCATGGCCAGCCCCAGCGGCTCGACTCAAAAGAGCAGGTTTGTGAAGGTATTTAGGCACCAGAAGATGCCTAGAGGGGCTTTGGAGAATCCCCTTAGGTGCTGAATAACTTTGAAAGTCGGGCCCCAAATGCCTTAAGCCGTATCCATGCTCTGCTTGGCCATTCGGACCTACCCAGGCATAACCATTGCAAACAGCCCGCGTCTGGCTCGCCACTCACTCATGCTGATGTAAATCAGGAGTGGCTCCATTGAATTCAGACCAGTCCTCATCACACCCATGATCAGGGCCTGTCAAGGCTACTTCCCCACTCTGAACTTTAGGGTACAGATGTGGGGGCCAGCATGAAAACTTCTAAGCTTAACTACCAGCTTAGATCTGGTCCACTGCCACCACTCCCAATGTGCTAATTCCCTTCCCTGGGTAGCCTTGAGAGACTCTTCACCAATTCCCTGGTGAATACAGATCCAAACCGCTTGGATCTTAAAACAAGGAGAAATTAACCATCCCCCTCCTTTCTCCCACCAACTCCTGGTGGATCAAGATCCAACCCCCTTGGATCTAAACACAAGGAAAAATCAATCAGGTTCTTAAAAAGAAGGCTTTTAATTAAAGAAAAAGATAAAAATCATCTCTGTAAAATCAGGATGGGAAATAACTTTACAGGGTAATCAAATGTAAAGAGCCCAGAGGACTCCCCTCTAGCCTTAGGTTCAAAGTACAGCAAACAGAGGTAAACACTCTAGTAAAAGGTACATTTACAAGTTGAGAAAACAAAGATAAAACTAACACGCCTTGCCTGGCTGTTTACTTACAAGTTTGAAATATGAGAGACTTGTTCAGAAAGATTTGGAGAGCCTGGATTGATGTCTGGTCCCTCTCAGTCCCAAGAGCGAACAACCCCCAAAACAAAGAGCACAAACAAAAGCCTTCCCCTCACCGAGATTTGAAAGTATCTTGTCCCCTTATTGGTCCTTCGGGTCAGGTGTCAGCCAGGTTACTTGAGCTTCTTAACCCTTTACAGGTAAAAGGATTTTGGAGTCTCTGGCCAGGAGGGATTTTATAGTATTGTACACAGAGGGCTGTTACCCTTCCCTTTATAGTTATGACAGGGCCGGATTAACTTTTTGTGGGCCTGGCACCAAACATATTTGTGGGCCCTCATTGGGGAAATAGGGCATGTGATGGGGGGCGGTCCGCAGAGCGAGGGGCCGGTTGGGGGCAATGAGACGCAGCGCAGCAGGAGTGGCCCCACTCAGCCCAGCACAAGGGCACTGTTTACAAACCCAAAACTGCTAGACGCACACTGGCCCGCCCAGCCCTGCGGTGCCAGTGTGCCCCTTCCACACTGCCCCAGGCCCGGTGCCCTGTCCTTATGCCAGTGCCCCCTCACCCAGAGACTTCCTCCACAGATCCCTATGCCCAGCACCCCCTGCCTAGAGACCCCTCCCACTGACATCCCACCACAACTCCACAGCACCCTGCACACCATACCCCCTGCCCAGCTCCCCCACCCACAGATCCCCTACTGTCCAGCACCCCCTTCACAGTCCCACCATCACAGCTGTACAGCACCCCATATTCCGGAGGGAATTCTGCAGCAAATTCTGTGCATCATATTTTAAAATTCTGATTTTTTTTTATAATAAATAAATGTGGAAACTCCACCATGGCAGTGGGGAGCACAGGCCACTGGCTGCATGGAGGTGGGAGATCACCCTGCAGCCTCACCCACCCCCCTGGGACAGGGACTTGGCAGTGAGACTGAACCTGACCCTGACACAGCACAAGGGCCAGGCCTGCCACAGAAACACCCTTGCTCATTCACACCTCATTCATTCAACATGCCAATTGATTAAGGGAGTGTCGGGAGGGGGAATCTTATTCTACTCCTAGCAAAAAGACATTTTTCTTCTACTTTAACTATCCTTAGGGGCTATAACATTATACCAAGGCTTAACACAAAGTTTTCTATAAGTTTTTCTACATAGGGATCTGATACAAAGTTCCTATATCAAAGGACTTGATACAAAGTTGTATGAAAATAGTTTAATACAGGGTTATATGAAGAGGCATAATACAAAGTCATATGAAAGTTAGAGGTTATATATGGATAGCCTTAATACAAGGTTATATAGAGAGGCATAATACAAAGTCATATGAAAGTTATGTGAAGATGCTTAATACAGAGCTTTATCTACAGGGTTCATTTGGGTGGGGGTCTAGGTGTAGGTGGTTGGGGCTCAGTGGGGAGGGTGTCTGGGGGGGCTCATCGGGGTGGTACAGATGCAGGGGAGGTGGGGCTTGTCAGGGTGAGGGTTTGATGGGCCTGCTTAACAGGGGAGCCCCAGCTGCTGCCAAGGGGATCCGCATGCTGGGCCCCCGTTTCCCCTATCCCAGGGATCGGTAACCTTCAGCACGTGGCCCACCGGGGTAAGCCCCCTGGAGGGCCGGGCCGGGCCGGTTTGTTTACTTGCCATGTCCACAGGTTCGGCTGATTGCGTCTCCCACTGGCCGTGGTTTGCTGCTCCAGGCCAATGGGGGCTGCAAGAAGCCGCGGACAGCACATCCCTCGTCCTGCAGCCCCCCATTTGCCTGGAGCCGCGATCGGCTGAACCTGCGGACGCGGCAGGTAAACAAACTGGTCTGGCCCACCAGGGGGCTTACCCTGGCAGACCATGTGCCGAAGGTTGCCGATCCCTGCCCTATCCCCTTCTCTTCCCCATCCCATGCCCCTTCCCCACCACTCCATCTCCTCCCCATCCCAACCCCTGCCTTCCACACTGCCTCTGTCCCGCTGCCTGCCCCACCACGGGCACTCACTGTTGTACAAGATGAAGGATGGGGAAGGCTCCCAGCACACAGAAGGGTGCTCAACCAGCACTAGGACCCAGAAGGGGGTGTCCAGCTGCAAAGTCCGGGGAGCTGAGCAGCACCTTCTCTTTTCAGCCTGGCTGCGCAGCTCTGCAGTCAGAGTAGGTCTGCTCCTTCCACCCCCCTCCCAAAACCCCACCCCCACCTCTTCTCTGCCTCCTCTCCCCAGGTGAGCATGCTGCGGCTGTGCTCCTCCCCCACCCCCCTGCCGGCAAACAGCTGATCGGCGGCAGGGATGGGGAGGGCGGGAAGGGAGCAAGCTGTGAGAAGAGGCAGGGGAGGGGGAGCTTGGCTGCCCTACTGCAGCAGGAGCCTCACTGCCAGGAGCATCAAGCTTCTGCCCCCTGCAGGAGAGAGCGGGGGGCGGAGAAGAGTGGGTCTGATCGGGGCCCCCCTGCAGTGTGGGCCCGGGTCCATGGCGCCAGTCGCTCCATGGTAAATCCGCTACTGCCCATGATTGTAGGGTTACCATTCGTCCGGATTCCCCCGGACATGTCCGGCTTTTTTCAGTTAAAAATAGTGTCCAGGGGGAATTTGTCAATGTCTGGACTTCCCCCGCCCCCCATGCAGAGCGTGCGGGGCTTACAGGGCAGCCGGCTGGGTGGTGCCACTCGCACGGGCTCCGGCAGCCAGAGCCCTTCCTCCACTTCCCCCCTCCTCTCCCCTGCAACTTGAGACCACTCCCCTCCTCTCCCTCCCTCCCCCCGCCCTGCATTCACAGATCGCCGGCCGCGGCCTCGGCCTCCGGCAGTCTGGAGCTCCGACCCTGCTCCCCTCCCCCTGCAGCACAGTAAGGAGGCCAGGGAGTCGGAGAAGGGGCAGGGAGGTTCTGGGGGGGCAGTCAAGAGACAGGGAGCAGG